ACTGCTATGAACGTTCTCACAAAAGCGCAGTTATCAGGGACAAGGCTGGTTCCCAAACATTCTTTTTTGCAGATTCGTAGAATAAAAGGGAGCTAATTAAGTTGTCAACTGCCCCCTCCTTGCTTTATGCAGGAATCTGAATGGAGGCACCCCCAGATTTAATGAACAGAAGCTCACTACCACTAGTTCACTGGTTTCACCACCATCAAGCAGATTTTAGTGCAAAGGTATTTCTCTTCTCACATCAATCAGAAATGGCTCAGTCTATCTGTTCTTCTTATCAACTTCTATCACCCCATTTTACTTTTATCTTTTTCATGTGCGGGTAGACCTATTACTGAACAAAGGACTGGGATGTATTTCTTCTGTCATTTCTATTTTCTAATTCCATTTTTAAGATGGTCCTTAGATGTCATCCTTGAAAGAGCAGTGCTGTTTAAAACGTCTGTTCTGCTTTGTAGTAGGTTGGTTTTCTTTTGATTATCTGTTTAAATTAAATATGTTTAAAGAAAAATCAGGCACCTGGGGTTGGATGCCAAAGCTGCAGGCAGAGATTGGAGTCCATCAGAACTAAGATGGAGATCAAAATGAGCCATAAACCAAATAGTATCCTGCAGGAGAACAAACACAATCCCTTTAATAGAGGATGAATTGAAAGTCAATTTGGAAGAAGCTTTTTTTATGATCAGGAGTTTCTCAACCCTTCTCTTCTTTTCTTTGCAGGGTTCCCCCCCCCCAAAAGCAGAACTATTGAAATCAATGGACAATCCTACCACCAGGCACTGAGAACCCAAGAGATGATGCATGTATCTGCCTGGACCTTCTCTTTGCTTGCTTCTCTTACTTCTCTTATTCCTACATATTATGTGATGGAGAGGAGAAATACCGCAAGGATACTCTGGTAGCTGGGCTGGAGAAATGGCCAGGGAGGCATAAAGTACCAGGGCCAGATAAGAGGGGTAGTCCTGTCAATAACCTTTTTTGGTTGCTGACATCCTTTAGGCTCCTCCTACTTGCAAAGACCCCTTTTCTGATGGATCACTTTGATTCGGCTTCAGATAATAATAATAATAATAATAATAATAATAATAATAATAATAACAACAACAACAACAACAATAATAATCCCCCAGTGAGGCACTACCTTGACGTGGTTGTGGGGCTTGTGTACTCTTAGGAAGATGAGAGCTATGCCAGAGGTTCAACCATACTGGAAAGGTCTCATCAGAGGAGTCAGACAAAGAGTGTCTCTCTCATAAAAAATATGGTGAGACGTAAATTGCAGAATGACATACCGGCTCGGACATCGCCCGGGTTAACAAGGTCCGCGCTAGATATTGGAGTTCCTGGATATCTGGTGAAAAATGGGTTACAGGACTTAGGACTGTTGGCTGAGCAACCAGGGCCACCAGCTGCAGAACTACTGGAAGAAAAGGTGTTTACCCGTCGCAGATACACAGTGATTGAAAACAAAGAAATAATGATCTGTTACTACAGATCAAGTCCAACAAGACGAGGATATCTAAAATGAATGCACCAGTTCTGGAAAGAACAACATCCAGAATCAGAAATAACAGAACAGAAACTAGCAGATCAATGCCGATTTATAATACGAAATAAAGTATTCACAGAAACAGAATTGGACGAACTGCAAAGGTTTACCCAGGGCAAAGAAATCAAAGCCTTACCAGAAGTAATTCAGAATGTAGAGGCAAACCAGGGGGAGTTGGCAGTGAAGGAATCCAGCAGAGATATACAACTGTTCTCATTTGGAAACCAGGCACCTCTTCCTCAGGAAGAACAAAACCCTCTAACTAAAGAAATAAAAGAATTGAAACAAAGAATAACTGAGCATCTAGAACAGCACAAAAACAACAGAATAAGGCTGCCTGCATTGAAGCTTGTTCCAAAGAAACAGCTAGCACAAGCATTAAAAGATGCAAATACTGCAATAGCAAGTATAAGCACCAATTCACTGCAAGAAACAAACCAACTAATGTACAGCACAGCTGCAGTTATAACTGAATACCTGGGATGCAAAATCAACAAAGAAGAAAAACAAACAAACAGTGCACCAGAAAAATGGAAGGTTAGACTAGAAAATAAGATCAGCAAGTTAAGATCACATGCAAGCAAGCTAGAACAGATGAAAGAAAAGAAGCTGAAGAACAAGAAGACCAAAGAATACCTAATCAAGAAATACCACTTAGAAACAAGGAAGATCAAGGAAGCACTGGAAATAATAAAGCAACAAATAACAGCTATAGCCAGGAAAATCAGTAGATATGAAGCTCGAATTGCAAACTATAGGCAGAACCTCCAATTTCAATCCAATCAGAAACGTTTCTACCAATCCATCAATGGAGAAACTGCAAGGAATCAGTCAGTACCTGACAAGGAAGAAACAGTGCAGTTCTGGAAGCAGATATGGGATAACCCAAAGAAATACAACAAGGATGCGGCTTGGTTAAAAGAGGTGGATGCAAATAAAACAGAATTTGAAATGAAAGAACTAGTAATAACAACAAAAATGGTAGAAAAAAGAGCAAAGAAAATCAAAAATTGGTCAGCACCGAGTGAAGATGAACTGCATGGGTTTTGGTTGAAACATCTAACTGTTATACACCCACTCATTTCCAAGCAGTTCAACAATATACTACAAGGAGGAGAAATTGAAAAGTGGCTAACAACTGGGAAAACCTACCTAATAATGAAAAATCCAGCAAGAGGGGCAACACCAGGTAACTACAGGCCAATTACCTGCTTACCAACAACTTTCAAATTACTAACTGGTGTGGTAGCTGATGCAGTACAACATCATCTAGTTGAAAACAATCTCTTTCCACCTGAGCAGAAAGGAAACCGCCCCAATAGCAGAGGAACAAAAGATCAACTCCTAATAGACAAACTGATCTTGGAAAACTGCAAGAAAAGGAAGACCAACCTGAATGTGGCATGGATTGACTACAAACAGGCATTTGACTCTCTGCCACATGACTGGATAATCAAGTGCCTAGAAATAACAGGAGTCAGTAGAAACATCAGAAAATTTGTGCAAAGATCGATGGCACAATGGAAGACACAGTTGCAGATCAATGGTGAGAGACTTAGAGAGGTTAATATCAAGAGAGGAATATTTCAAGGAGATTCATTATCACCATTACTATTTGTCATTGCACTGTTTCCTCTGTCAACAATACTGAATAACTCAGGACATGGCTATCAAACATCAAAAACATCTTCCAGACTATCCCATCTCCTTTACATGGATGATCTGAAACTGTATGGAAAAACATCATCTGAAATAGAATCGCTGCTCAACACTGTCCGTATATATAGCAAAGATATTGTAATGGAGTTTGGTTTGGACAAATGTGCCACACTTACTATCAAACAAGGAAAAATAATGAAAACTGAAGGAATCAAGATGCCCCATGAAAATAACATTAAGAGTCTGGATGAGGAAGATTACTACAAATACTTGGGTATCCTTCAAGCTGACAACATCAAGCACACTGAAGTCAAGAAAAAGGTTAGAGGTGAATACATCAAGAGAGTGAAGAAGATCTTAAAGTCCAAACTCAATGGAGGAAATACCATAAAGGCAATCAACACCTGGGCAATTCCAGTCATTAGGTACACAGCTGGAATAGTGGACTGGACTGAAGCAGAACTAAAAGCAATGGATAGGAAGACCAGAAAAAATAATTACAATGAATCACGCCCTTCATCCACGCAGTGACATTGACAGACTTTATCTACCAAGGCAAATAGGTGGGCGTGGAATGCTACAAGTACATCAGATGGTTGAAGAAGAAAAAATGGCTTTGGAAGAATACCTGAAGAACAATGAAGATGCACTGAAATTAGTATATCAGGAAGGCTCACTGACTACTGGAGAGACCAAACTGGCCTACAAGAAAGACCAAATGAAGAACAGAATAGAGGATGGGAAAACAAAGCACTACATGGCCAATACATTAAAAAAATAGCTGGGAAAGCAGATATTAACAAGACCTGGCAATGGCTAAGAGCAGGAAAATTGAAGAAAGAGACCGAGGGACTAATTCTGGCTGCACTAGACCAAGCCTTAAGGACAAATGCATATAAAGTCAAAATTGAGAAGATAATAACAGACAGTAAGTGCCGCCTATGCAAAGAAGCTGAAGAAACAGTGGACCACCTGGTAAGCTGCTGCAAGAAGATTGCACAGACTGACTACAAGCAGCGGCATGACAAAGTAGCAACAATGGTGCATTGGAAGATCTGCAAAAAATATCATTTGCCTGTAAGCAAAAACTGGTGGGATCATAAAAGAGAGAAAGTCATAGAAAATGATAAAATTAAACTGCTCTGGGACTTCAGAATTCAAACAGACAATCACCTGCAACATAACACCCCAGACTTAACAATTGTCGATAAGAAAGACAAAAAAGTCTGGATAGTGGACGTGGCAGTGCCTGGAGATAGCAGAATAGACGAGAAAGAACTGGAGAAGATAACAAAATACAAAGACCTACAAATAGAAATAGAAAGATTGTGGCAAAAGCAAGCAAGGGTAGTACCAATAGTGATAGGCTCCTTGGGTGCAATCCCAAAACAACTGGAGCACCATATGAACACCATTGGCATTGACAAATTCGCTATTAGTCAATTGCAAAAGGCGGCCTTGCTAGGAACTGCTTCCATCCTGCGACGATATCTGTAATACCATCAAACATCCACATCTGCCTATCCCATGTCCTGGGTAAGGACTCGATAGGTAGACAAAATGCCAAATCCAGTCTGAACATCTGGCTGACTGTGCGATGATCCATAATATAATAATGATGATGATAATGATGATGATGATGATGATGAATAATTGGAAGGGACTTTGGAGGTCTTCTAGTCCAACGCTCTGTTCAGGCAAGAAACCCTACACCATTTAAGACAAATGGCTACCCAGTCTCTTCTTAAAAACTTCCAATGTTGGAGCATTCACAGCTTCTAGAGGCAGGTTGTTCCACTGGTTAATTGTTCTAACTGTCAGGAAATTTCTCCTTAATTCTAGCTTATCTTAGTGATAAGCTGATGCCATGACATTGTGAGGCTATGTCCTCAAGAAATGAGGCATAGGCCATTCTTATGGTTTAATTTATATTCTAACATAATTCAGTATTTTGCAATGGATGGCACTCCGTCATTAGCCATTGGAGGACCCTAAAGACCATTAAACAAATAAACAAAGAGAAAATCTAGATGTTGGTAAAAGAGGCTGTATGGATGAGACCAATGAATCATTATTTCTCCACTTCTCTGCAACACCTAGGCTTCCCAAAGCTAGGACATCATAAGAGCCTTTTCACAGCTATTATCATTCCTAAGATTCCCCCTTTGATGAAATTCAGAGAAACCCATCCAATCTGCAGAAATATTCTGTTTCAAAGAGACAGTTATATGCAATTGTGATTTTTTTTTTTAAAAAAAGCAAAATCAGCAAACAAACATTTTTTTCTAGGCATTTTATTCACTTATAACAGAAACATTCACTTATCAGATATCACTGAAGTGCAATTTACAGAATTTAGCAGCAAATTCACACTTGGAAATTGTTCTTTTTGTTTGTACAAATCTTACAAATGTACATCCATTCGTACCATATTGCCATTCATCCATGCTCACTATATACACTGTCTTCTCTTTGAATTCCTAGTGCAGCGCCATTCTCTCCTGTGTTGGAAATGTGGATGTACAATTGGGAAGAAGCTTCATTACAAAATGTTGGGCTATTGCATGAGCTTTGGACTTTGAACTCAAATTCTGAAAGGACAAAACCAACATTTTCATGGTTTTCCATGAAATTATCCAATACTCTCCATGGTCAAGTTTACAGTGTAAGAAACCTCTGCCATAATTCTTGTTTTCTTTGTTGAGTCTATATTGTCTTTAACTGGTGGATTGGGTGAACTGGTCACTCCTAAAACAACAAAAGTGCTTGTATAAGCAAAAAGTAAGGTAAAAACATCATCATCATTATCGTCATCCAGAGCTCTTTTAATAGACAACATATTTGCTAAGTATTAGGTAGTATTAAAGATTCCCCGAAGAATCATCATCATTACTCTGACAACAATGATTAGGAGTTTAAGAAAGCAGTTCAAAAGTTCTATGGGAATCTGGGTAATTAAATAGTAAGCATGGAGTTTGAACTGAACTGAGGTTTCAGAGTACAAAATGAACAGTCTTATTGGTCCTCAGGCCTCATGTCAAGCAGTTCACAAAACTTCCAGTGGAAGTTAGCAGGAACTTCTCTTGTATGTATGGGATCTGGAGTTATAACCGGCTTGCAATAATGGAAGGGGCAGAGGCATATCTCTGTATCCAATGGGCCACAGGAAATGCCGAGTATGAGTAGGTTTCTGTGAAATTCCACAAGTTTGTTTCATATATGGAAGAGGAATGCTGTACTGATATGGAAATTCTAAGAAAGCGTTACATATTTTTCAACTATAAAGATAACTTTGGAAAAACCACCCTGTTAGTAAAATGGCACTTTAATGTGATCTGTTAGCAGCTTTGGCCCACGTACTGAAACACAAAACCAAATTGCAGAGATGTTATTATTATATTTTATCTAACTTTCCTCCAAAGGTTACCTTTTCATTTAGGATTCATATATCTGTTCTCATTTTAATCTTACAACAACCCGTGAGGTAGGTTCCACTGAGCTATTGTGACAGACTCACAGTCTCCCAGGCAGAGGGGGCAATCTTTTCTAAGCGGCCACCCCACATACAACAGGAGGTTCTTTTTATGTGCTTGAGTCTCACGGGGAAAATAAAAAGATAATGTGATGGCCCGACTTCATAAGTGTGTATGAGATTGATCAAAAACATCCTGAATTTGGAAAGCTAGTAAGTTAACCAAAAAGTCTGTTTTCATAGCAGGGAAAATTGAGGAGTAGGGGCAATAGACAAACAATCAATCAGTCAGTCAATCAATCAGAATAAATCTGGAAGGGAAAATAGCGTCAAGCATTCAAACGTGGGATTTTTGAAAACTTAATGCATGAGATTTAATGCAATCTTATCTCCCATTTGAGTAAGGAGCACTCAAGCCAGTAGAGTTTACTTCCAAACAAACATGGATGAATAGAGGACAACAAATACGAAATTTCATTAGTTTCAGCAAAATTTAGAGGATCATAACTTTCATGGATTCTTCCTGAAACTATTCTCTCCTTTCTCCAGTTCTTTGAGACTTATGAGTATTTTTGGAAATTTGAGAAAGTGTCTTTGTGGGTGCTCTCACAATATGGCTGTTAGGAAGATAGCCAGTCATTAAATATCCTCTTACGAAAGCAAATTGTGCTTCCATCCATTCCTTTTCACAGGATGTTCCTCAACATACCCAACTTTTGTTTATTTTTCTAAAGGTGGGCATATGTCCACACAGAGTGTTGACATTTTTAATATTCTGAGACTATGTACAAGAATCTTAGAGAATGCAAAGTCTTTCTTGGAACTAAAGATAATTCTGGAACTAGTGCTCCCTTTTGCTTGATGAGAGTGTTTATTCTTTTTGGAAACTTGAAAGTAAATCTTCTTTTTCAAGTTGGGTAGAAGTAAAAAATATGCTGAGCAACCATGGAGATGGCCATGAAGAAGTCACTCAAAGTCAAGTGGAAAATCTCAATTTCAAAATTAAGCACTTGTTATCATCACAAAGCCTTTTTTTATTCCTAACTTGTTTGTGTTTTCTACTATCTCTACTCTAAATAGATTTTTTTGGGTAGTTAACATGGAATGTATTATTTGTTAAAACACATTTCTGCAAGGGGAGTGTTCCTTTTGTAAATTTAATTAAAATTTCTAGTTTATCACAATAATTGTATTTGTACAGACACTATAGCTACATCTTGTAATTTATCATCTAAAATTCATTAAAATACAGCAGCTAGTCCTATCCTGTGACATTAATAAACAAATGTATTTACTCGGTATGGCTCTCAAGAGCTTATATACAGAGCATCTAACTTTATTTGCAGAAAACGGATAGCATCAAGGGAGTTCTAGGGGAGAAGTCTCATGCAACAAGTGCGAGAATGAACTCTGCTCTTGTGTATGAGATATAACTTGGTTGGATAGCTCTAAGAAGATACACCAAGACAAATCAGGAACAGCACGTTCATATATACACAATTCATGAAAACTAAAAGTTAGAAACAATAACACTACACCCGCACATCCTGTCATGTGAAACAATAACAACAACAAAAAAAAGAACTACAATTTGGGTAAAGACAAATTTTGGAGGTGCTTAGATTTTCTATAATGTTTTGGGCATCCTAAATAACATCTACATCGGGTGAATATCATGCCAATCATTTAAGATATCACCAGTCCAACTTGGTGATGCTGGACTACACAGTGTTAAATAAAACTGATGTTTACAGTCCATCACATCTGTAGAACACCCAATTGGGAAGGTGAATTATTTTTTTTTCATTTTGCAACAATGCTCTAACCAGGGATCCCCAACCCCCAGTCTGTGGACCAGCACCGGGCTGTGGCATGCCAGAAACTAGTCCACGCAAACAAGCAAAGCCCCATCCATGGGATGCAGGCAGTACATGAAACCACACCCCATCCGGACTGCAGAAAACCTCTCTCCATGGAACCGGTCCCTGGTGCTCAAAAGGTTGGAGACCTCTGCTCTAAACATGTACTTTGATCGATGGCAGCAACGGAGAACTGTTTAGCATATTTAAAAATAATGACAAGATTCGGACCTCAATCACTCAAGGAGAAAGTTGGATGGTGAAAAAAATGTTAGGCCTTTGGCTGGCCCAACTGTGCTAAGTAGGAAATTGAGGAAGCCTCGTTCATAGGATGTTGTGCTGGTTGAGGCTGCCTTTAGGTCTACTAGACATTAGAAAATTGATCATAGCTATGAAGTAGAGTGAAACCCCCATCCACATTTTAAAATGTTATCAAGGTTAAGAATTGTGCATCTAAAGAAGCTGTAATGTCTAGATGGGCTGCAGATTATCCCTCATATAGAATTGGAGATAGAATCTTTCTAGGACAACAGATTTGTGGGCAATCATGACACAGGACACTCACCCTGCATCTCTGGTCCACATAAATTATAGAAGTTTCATACTATACTTGATAGGCAAGAGAATATGAGCAAACAGTGTAAGAGTAGAATTAGCATCCTATTTGGGGCTCTTCCAGTATTAATATATGCCAATTCCTCCCTCAGAAAAACATTCCAATGCACACTATGTTGATATTAGAATATTTTAAACATACTAGATTGCTTTCCATTGGCATTTGTACAATATTGACGTTCTTCTCCAATTTCTGCAATTTCAGATTTTTGAGCTGGCTGGTCCTAGACCAGATTGTAATTAAGGATCTCAGAAGATCCAAATGGTAAGGATTATGCTAAAGACAAAAGGGATGTGTTGTTAACAGCTATACTGAGTTTTGGAGCCCTAATTAAATGTTTTTTTCATTCTGCATATGAGTTGCAAGGAGATAGATGAAATGTAATGCAACTTGACTTAAATATGGTATGTGCATCTGGGAGGTCTTCTGTGATGTGCTTTCAACCAACTTGAAGTGTGAGTCATCTCTTGCAGCAATGGGCACGTCTGTGTCTCTTATAACTAGAGTGCAAAAAAATGTGGTTTCTGAGAAGCATGCAGCCCAATGGCCATCTGGTGCAGGATGTGATGCCCATGTCCCAAAATTATACCCCTATCAAACTCTTTGTAGACATCTCATCTCTCCCAGCCATCTACAACCTTGCTCTGTCTTTTACCAATCCTTTTCCATTCAAGCTGCCTCCTCAATTCCTTTCAGTATGAGTTTTCAGATCATTGCCTGTCCTCCGTTTTTTGCCATATTCCAGCCGGAGCCATCCATCCCTCTCAACTCTTCTGCAATTTCTTCTTCTTGTGCCTTCTACAATGTTTTTAATTTATAGCAGGGGTTTCCAACCTTGGCAACTTTAAGACTTGTGGACTTCAACTCTCAGAATTCCCCAGCCAGCGCAAATCATAATTTCCTCCACAGGTCTTAAAGTTGCCAGGTTTGAAGACCTCTGATTTATAGAAACTAACAGTATTTTCACAGTTGCCTCCCATGTGTTGGAACCCAGAGGAGAAGGATGGACCCATTTGACAGTGGCAAGCAGTTGCTATATTCAATATGCTTAACTGGAGACCTTCAATGGCAGCTGATAGTTATTCAATATGCGTAACTGGAGACCTTCCAAATAGCAGCTGATGGTTATCATGTGCTGTATATTTGCTGAGTGCAACCAGCTGCATGATAGATTCATTGTATGTCAAAAACAGGATAGCCATGATGTGGCATCAATCAATCTTGGAACCATTATTTTCTAAATGCAAGATAAAGACATGCAAGCTTTTCCTTGCTTCTTTCTGATATACTATGCTCCCTGCATTGAACTTGCTTTTCTATCTTGCTTTTCTATTCCCCTTATTCTGATGTACTGAACAGATTTTGTAAAGCTCTGGGCTGCCACTGTTTAGGCTTGTAGTCTGAAATCCCACCTCCTCCCTCTCTCTCACACCCCTACAGAGAGACAGAGACACCTAACTTTCCATGTTTCAGTGTGTGCTAATTCCTGCATATGTTTGCAATCTATAAAAATCCCTCATCCTCCTATAATTATTGCACTAACGGTGAAGAGGAACACTAGAGGGCTGATGGTTTTGTTTGTTTTTCAGCCAGACGCAACTTGCAACCTGCTGTTGCCTGAAATACAGGTGCTGCTTAGATAATTACAGCAATGTGCTACAAACAAGGAACAAACAGTGAAGGTCGTTTTTGTAACCTGGGCTTGTACATCCTTGAGAAGGGATGGGTATGTAAAAGCAGTTTCCTAAAGGTTCAGTGCATTAACCAGAATGTATCTCATATCTAACACATTTAGATACAAGGTTCTGACTTGGGTTGAACGGGGTCTCACATGACGTCTCTCTCCGGCTCCAGTAGAGTAGTTCTCTTCCCTCCAGTCCTTTCAAGGGGGTCATGTTACCAACATGCCAAATGATTCACACCATGAGTAGAAACTGATCTTGCTCTGGGGGTTTTTTCACCCAAGTGCCCAGGCCTGCCTTCTGAAAAGCTCCGAACAGCTGCTGTTTGGCAGACTGATAGACATGTGCCACCAGCTTGGCCTCGCTGTACACTGATGGCACTTCTCCATGGCTTGATATCGGTGTGCTCAGCTGCAGAGGGAAGAGAAGGGAGAGGGAAAGTCAGATGACAACGAACAAAGAGCGGAAGCTTCGGGCTCTTCTGTAGCTTTGTGTCCTCATTTCATCTGCCTCTCTTAAGCGACAAAGAAATTGTGAGCTTTATACGTAACAGTACTCAGGGAAGAAATATTTGAGGAGATCCGTGTCTCACTGCACAGATGGTGCCAGACTACCATCTTCACACAAAAGGGGATTTTGGAGAGCTCAACCAACCATTATTGTACATCATTTGGAAGAATGCCCAGAGTGCTGTGTGTGTAAATTCTACCAATTAATTCACATTCTTCTTTTGGATAGATTTTTTTTTTTTTTGGAAGCATTGTAAAGGCCATGACAAAGAATGGCCACTGGAATGTGTTAGTTCTTTCCAAATGGACTCTCCTTTCTCCTAAATGAGTCCATTTTGCTCATTTGGAAGGAACCAGAGGATTTTGAAGGCCACGTTCATTTGTCATTTGGAAAAGAGAAACGAAATCAGAAAGGCTGCCATGTTCAATGGTATGAATAATCCAATATATTTCCAATAACAACCAGCAATGCTGGGAAAGATTGAGGGCAATAGAAGAAGGGGACAACAGAGAATGAGGTGGCTGGATGGAGTCACTGAAGCAGTAGGCGTGCGCTTAAATGGACTCCAGAAGATGGTAGAGGACAGGAAGGCCTGGAGGAACGTTGTCCATGGGGTCACGATGGGTCGGACACGACTAACAACTAACAAACAACAACAAACAACCAGCAAAGGCACTGCTAATTTTTTCTTAAAAAAAATTTCATAGCATTTTCAAATATATATTCACAGAAATGAAAATAGATAAAACTTTGACCATGTACTTTTGGACACTATTTGACATTTTCATCCCCCTTACCTGGGTCTACATTCAATTAACTGTATCCACCTACAGAGTAAATTGCTGTCTATGTGGATATTCTCTATTGAAATATTGTTCCAGCTTCTTCCCATCATCAGTGCCATGCACAAGACTCTCTCAGTTTCTCTTTCTTCTATTACAAAGACAATTCTTGCCTATCCTACTCTTGCTACTGGATGAGCCTGAAAAATAAACCTAGGTGTCTATTAAATATGCAATGATTGACGCCCTTTCTATCGCTTCCACCCTTGCTTTCCATAATTTGGGATAAGATTATTTTGATACCGAATTTCAAGAGCTGTAATCTAATTGTTTAAGCAAATGGAACTCATTTAGGATGTTCTATTTTGGTTCTGCTTTGCACAGCCATGAGCAGGGAAGGTCAAAAAAGTCAAAAGGACACCAATGCAATGCCTTTCTCTCCCCCCGCCCTTTGATTAGACATTCAAACTTTTTTGAATGAAAAAAATATGATACTTTTATTTTTGTTGTGATTTTTATATGCCTCTATTATTTCTGTTGTGTTTCGCTAGCTTTGTAAATATACAAATGCTCGAGATTCTGGGTCAATGCTGAAAAGAAAAAAAAAGCATACTGACATTTGGAGAAAGGATTTAAATAAGTGAATGTTTTTGACAGAGAAAAGGTGAAAGCACGAGTAAAAAACCTCCCTTCCAATGTGATATTGGTAACAAATGCTATAAGAGAGAGCAGTAATCAAGCATCAAGCATGTACTAAGTGTACAGAGCTGAGAGGGGGCATTGCTGAGCAGAAGAACTTTATGAAATAACCTGCAACCGAGATACTTGCCAAAAGCAGCCTTTAAAGTTTAAAACACAATGTTTTAAAGTTAAAAATGCAATGATCACTTCCAGCCCCCATGCCTATGGAGTGTCTCAATCACCCAGGTCATGGATATCCCGAAGGTGCTTTTCCAAAAAGCGAAGAGACTTGGTTGTTTTCTTTGAAAACATTTTGCTTCTCATCCAAGAAGCTTCTTCAGTTCTTGGACAAGAAACAAAACTTTGTCAAAGAAAAAAAAAAAACAGTCCAAGAAAGCATCTTTGGGACCTCCAGCCTTTATGCATCTGAGGTTGGGAGGATGATTGTTTTTGTTTTATTAACTTCTTGTTTTGCAAAATTAAATTAATGATCTTGTTTCTGGACTGCCTAGGACACAATGTGACTGAGCTAAGAATGAGAATTTAAAATGCAGGGGAAATCATGGAGGCTGGAGAATCCAGTCGGAGAACAAATATTCAGTTGTGTGAGTGATCTGGCACCTCCTGAAGACGTTCCTTCCATTATTTTTTCACAGGGATGTGTACAGAGTACATGGGCACAAGCAAGATTCTCTTTTTATATTCATTTCTTTATCTCTCCTCTGCTTTCTTCTGATGGGAATCTGGATTTGTCAAGCCTTCTCCCTATAGGAAAAAGAGAATTTCCTTTCCTTTCCCCAGCCACAAGGATAGACCCTTCAGAGACCCAGGTGTTTTGTTACACGATATAAACTTTTAATGAACTTTATGGTTTTATTCAAGAATCAGTTTTTACATCCACATAATAATCTTGGTTCCATTCACATGCTGAATACAAGCCCTAGTGGATAAACCATTTGAGTCCAACAAGGTTTATCTCAATTGTTTAAACCCTTCCAAAGGTTGATAACCTAGGAAAGATATATCTGCTATTTTTTTCTCTAAAATTAATGCCACCAAGGTGGAAAAGAAATGTCACCAAAACCAGACAATTCTTCCATATACACAGGTAGTCCTCGACTTACGACCACAATTGAATCCAAAATTTCTGTTTCTAGGTGAGATGCTAAATCATTGCTAACAATGCTAACTCATTATTAAATGAGTTTTGCTCCACTTTATGACCTTGCTTGCCATGGCTGTTAGGTGAATCATTACAGATGTTAAGTTAATAACACTGCTGTTAAGTGAATCTGGCTTCCCCATTGACTTTGTTTGTCAGAAGGTCACAAAAAGTGATCACATGACACCAGGACATTGCATCCGTCATAAATAAGTCAGTTGTGAAGCATCTAAATTTTGATCACATGAGCGTGGGAATGCTGCAAGGGTTGTGGAGATTATGTCTCCAGCCATTTCTCCAGAAGTTGTGAGTGCTCTGACACTGGAGGTTTTTTTTAGAAGAGATTGCACAGCCATTGGTCTGAAATGGAATAGGCTTGAGCCAGGGTTGGATTAGAAGTCCTTCAAGGTCCCTTCTAACTCTGTTATTCTGTTATTGGAAGGCATGTCTTTGTTTTATTTTCTTCGTAGATAAGAGTTGGATCCTTCCATTCCACCTCAGGCATTTGCAAGTGGGAATTACAGAATCATAGCACTGGAAGGACCCAGTTTGTATTCTATGCAGAAATCAAACCCAACTGACTTTACCTCAGTTGGAAGATAAGCAGGGTGAGATCTGATTGATGTTGGCTGTGGTGAGTTGGCCATGGTGAGTTAGCTGTGGCAAGTTGGCCATGGTGATTGTCTGTGGTGAGTTGCCTGTGGCAAGTGGGATATGGTGAGTTGGTCGTGGTGAGTTGGCTGTGGTAAGTTGGTCTCAATGAGTTGGCGGTGGCGAGTTGATTGTGGCAAGTTGTCCTGTACCCCCTCTACCACCTCTATCAGTGGTTCTCAACCTTTCTAATGCCGCGACCCCATAATACAGTTCCCCATGTTGTGGTGACCCCCAACCACTTATATATCACCGGGTGCCAGGGGCGTGGCCAAAGAAAAGGGGAAAAAAATGGCAGACAGCCTTGTTTGGCGACCCCCGTGAAATGGTCATTCGACCCCAAATGGGGTCTCGACCCACAGGTTGAGAACCACTGACCTATATGACCCAGTTTTTTCACCAGTGCAACTCACACTTACCTTTCCATAAAGCTTTGCCCACTGAGTGTAAAACATATGCTTGCAGAGTCGTGAACAATTCCCACAGGTTTTTTTCCCTGTTGTGGCATTAATAAGCTCTAAGTCTGCTGTGCCTGCTATCCAATTCATGCTAAAACCAGGAGATTTCCCAGCCCGCCTCCTTTCAGCATTATTCACTCCTGTCAAAAAGGAATCAGAAAACATCAAGCATTAAAAGCAATAGGTCTGAAAAATAAGAAACAGAGCTTCATTTTATTGGGAAATAAGCTATATATATATGTACACACACACACACACACACAGAGTTACACACACACACACACACACACACACACACACACACACACTATTATCCCTTGACTGGAATCTGCTTGACACAATATACACTTTTAGGAACTAAGATTAAGAATTAAGGTTCTTCTTTGCATTGATAGCATTTGTTCATATGAAATCACTGTTTCATTGACAATCGTCTGTATTAATGGTTGCTTTCTATAAGTGTTTTATAGGGAGAAAATTCTAAATCTGGGCACATTGAAAATAAAGACAGCAAGTATTGAGTTCATGGGATGGGTGGATTACAAATTCTGTAGTTGAACAATATATGTAATGGGATCAACTAACATGACACAGAAATGGGTAGATTTCTTCACTGTGAAAAAAAATAGACAAAGCCATTTTGCCTGCCAAAGATTTTATGACTTTCTTATATTTGCACCTTTTTCATTTTATTCTCATAGTCCAAATAAAAGTATTAACCATTTTTTTCTAAAATGATTTTAAAATAGGGAAAATATTCAATTTTTCAACTTTGTTTTTTTAATTTTTACCCAACAGCATTCAAATTAGTCTAACTGCAATTACAAATTCTTAATCATTTTAACTTTGGTTTAATAACATTGACAAAAAAATAAATAGCAAAAGAAAAAAATACAGAATACAATTTATAATTGCTCATTATAATGCTACACTACAGATGTTACATAGGTCTGTGTGAATGATGCAAAGGTGGTTCAAATAATTTAATTTGGAAAATTAATCCAATTGTCAATGCACATTAATATGGAAATTCAATTCAATTCAATTTCTTCAGACTGAATTAATGAAGCAGGTAGATTAGGCTTGAGTTTCAGAATCAATCTGGCACAAATTGTTTCTGTGCACAGATAGAAGCACCCAAAATCATCCATATCAATTCAAAACATCCAATTTGATGATACAAATTAAGTATCTAAGACAATTCAGAAAACCAATTTGATCTGGAGATTGAACTGACATGCCTTTAAATCAAGTCTCCAAGTTAAATATCTGCATAACTGAATAGACAAAGCAGCTTTGATATATATGGGGATTAAATAAATTACAGGTACTGAAACATTGTATGCATTTGCATCAGTTAGAGGCAACTGGAAAATACACTTGAAATGGTTGCTTATTAAAGATGTATTAAAAATCCTCTGTATTTCTGAGCTTCTTACCAGAAGGAACCCACTTCCTTAGCTAAGTGGCAATATCCTAAGTGACTGTGTACAGATGAATCAAAATGAAAATATAATTGAGTTATTATTTCACGCTGAACTTGTAATCACATTTATGTCACATTAATAGCAATCTCCATTTCCTTACTATGATAACTGATCAGTTCGTATCTTAGGGGGAATATGCTATAAAATAAATGTCATTCTTACACCATGAAGCTATTTAAATACATCCATCTGAGAACTGTTGCAAGCAGATCTCACTGTATGACTTGACATGAATGTTTCAGCCTCTGTCAGAATTGTGACCTAACTTAGTGGATAGTGTGCCAAACTATGACAATATGTGCCAGATAAGTCCTGCCTGGGATAAAGCCATAGGTAACAGAACAAACATAAATGCAGCAATGATCAGAAGAAAAATAACATGTTTGGTCAAATTAATAGTTTTTGTATTCAGGCACTACCAAGTATTTCAGAAAATAAAAGCTAAGCACAAACGATCCCCAGATACTTCCTGTCAAGAGATCAACATTTCTGTTAGAAAATAAAAAGAAACAAAAGCTGAGAGAAGTTAAAGACTGATTGTTAATAAATATATTTGGTGAGTAGGGATTGCAGCATTTTTATCCCTTGTCTTCCAAAAGCATTTTTTTTTTTTTGTGGAAGAAGATTTAGGGAACTTGGAGAAATTAAATAGGAAAGCACTGTAGCGAAGTACTAACTCTAAGCTGTGGTAACAACCTCTAATCCTCTTCCTGAGGAGAAAATAATTGGTTTTAAATCTGGAAGACCTTTGCATCACATCCTTTTAAAACTCCATTGTATGTCCTTGGTTGGTAGGTTCCCCATTTCTAGTTTTGGCCTTACATTTCTGAAGTGAGACCAATTAAAAAAAAAGCATACCTCAGAGAATTGGAAAATACAATGGATTCTTTGCAAATTGAAAGTGCAATTGAAATGATAGCTTGTTGGAACGAATGAATCGTTAATGTATTATCAGAATGGATTACACATTGTTAATAGAGAGGACAAAAGAGAACACAAACCAGAACTTATTAATTAATAAGGAAGACCATCTAGGTCATGAGAGTGCTTTTTTTGGTCTTACTCTCCAGGTATTAATTGGTGGATTAAGACTCTTGTTCTCTTTCTTTAGATCTTTTACCTTTAAAAAAATAATAAATTTAAAACACTTAAAAGGCCTAAATCTCTCTTGCCCAACTAGTGCAAACACTATCATGCAGGAAATGCTGCAGCTTGGAAGAAAATGAGTCTATATGTTCAGCATTTCCTTCCTCCATTTTCCAAACTCATTCTCACATTCTATTACAGTTTCTGAATCACCTTTTCTTTCCATCCCATAGATATATTAAAAAAGAAATATTACAATTAGATGAAGACTATGGGATGGGCTGAGAGCTGGTGATCACAGGTTGCAACCCTGTAACCTTGTTCAGGAATTACAAAGATGTCCTAGTTGTGTAAATTAAGATGAGTGCTGTGTTTTCTTTCTTTCTGAGGCTAATGATGAAAAGAGATGGTCTTAATGCTTACAGCATGAACATCTGCAGGCAACAGTTTTCATTCAATCAGTTCCACCTGAGCAACGATCCTCTACTAACCGAGAACTCCCCAGAAAGCTGCATATGGAAGACTATTCCTAAATGGGGCTAATATTGCATTATGTGCTCATGAGTCCTACAAGAAGCAACCAATAATATTCTCTAGAGAAAGAGCAAGGAAACATGCATATGGCAATCTAATGACATGGGAAAGATGAACATTCTAGGCAGGATCCGCCATTTTTAGTTGCAGTCCAGTTTTGACAATGACTAAGTCCCCTACATGAAAGCATCCTTAATTCTACCACTCATCCATCTGGCATATGCAGGATGTTGCAGTCTCCAATGGCTTGACATGGTTTTGCTTCTTCGATGAATTTCCATTTCACTTAATATTGCATTTAGGATGATGTGTTTAAACATATAACTGAAAGGTGAATAGGTTTAAATCTGCTCTTAAGTAAATTTTATGATCCAAGGCTCTAGTTTGGCTTTAACACTTAATTGGTGCTTTAAGTTCTTTGGCTAAAAATGGATATGTGTATGTGTATGTGTGTGTATGTATTATCTATCTATCTATCTATCTATCTATCTATCTATCTATCTATCTATCTATCTATCTATCTGTCTGTCTGTCTGTCTTTCTGTCTATTTATCATCTATCTATCTATCTATCTATCTATCTATCTATCTATCTATCTCTCTCTCTCTCTCTCTCTCTCTCTCTCTCTCTCTCCCTCTCCATTTATCTATCATCTATTTAGCTATTTATCTAATCTCTTAAAGAATAATGGAAAATTACTCTGTTGGAGAATGATTGTATCTAACTTTAAAGCCTTTCTCATCATCCAATGATGTGTTTAACAATGGTTAATGGTGTAAGCCATTTTTTAAAAAAAAACTAGTATGCATTAATCATAGAACAAACTACTATAAAGGTCTAATCCATATATTCACATAGAGCCACATGGGAAACCATTAATATAAACAGTACCCTTTCAAATACCAAAGAATTTAAAACATTGCTGACTCAGGAACTCTTGTTTCTCAGTTTGCAGCAGCAAGGTTAAAATTTACGGGAGTGCTTAGTAATTTTAACCATTTTGTGTTGTGTTTCCTGTTAGGAAAAGTATGAATGGCCAATGTAAATGAACTACTGGTGATAAAGTAAATAGAAGGAGGGCTTTGAATAAAGAAGAAATATCTCATTTGGCCTTAGATCAGGAGATAGGAGGTTTTATACATATGTCTGTAAAATTTAAAAATTTAAATTTAAAGCAAGCAAATAAATGTAGTCAAAGACATACTACAACAGCATCAAATAACAGCAGCATCAAATAACAAGGGTGGAGACCACCAGAAAAGCAAGAATCAGAACTTTGTATCTCCCTTGACATCCAAAGTGATCAAACAGGAAGTAAAGAAGAAGAAGAAGAAATAAATGCAATGTTCTCCTTCATATTCCATACTGATTATTCTAGGGAAGAATGTAGAGAATGTGGAGATAATCTTGATAAAGGAATGCAGGAAGTATTAAAGGAAAAGAAATGAAACTTAGTCTGAGGAAAGGAGAAAACATGAACAAGAAACTCAAAATATTTTCATTTTGATTTTGTTTGGTGTAAGAGAGAGCAAAGGGAAATTCTGGCTGGCTTTCAAACTTCTGTTTCTATACTCTGTAACCAGAAAGTTCCCTTCCTACAGTATATTACTTATGGTTTCTATTTCTTGAACTATCTTACCTTGAAGAGCTGATCAGCAAGAACTCTTCCTATGAAAGACAAATTATCATGGACAGAAATAGGAGGAGAGAGGAAGGGAAGAACTATTTTAACTTCAACTGATTTAACTTAAGGATAGACTGAATAATTATTAGTGACATAAAACAACAAAGAGGATAAAGTATTTTAAGATGTGTGATGCAGCTTGGAAGGGCTCTTTTCAGTAATACAAGCCAAGGGAAGGCAGACAATTTATGTTTCTAAGCCAACATGAGCTTACCACTCAGGAGAAGCTGATTACACCGGTATGAAGCTGGCAGTTGACCAACATCTTCTAATCTATGGCTCATTACCCGTGAAAGGTGACCAATGTGAGAGAGGCTTCCCACAATAATGCTATGCAAATATACTGGCTCGATGAAGTAGCTAAGAAGTGCGCCTTGTAACCCAAGGACATTCCATCTGGAAAAGAAATTCAACAGTGAAAAAGATGTTCCAAGGGGAGGAAATTAGAGGTGAATTACATAGCGGGTAACAAAATACCATTCAAAGAGATGGCAAAGCTTGTTAGGTGGATGCATATGTTTATTCTGCAGAGAAAAATCTTGAGTGGGGCTTTGTCTGGGATGGATCACATTCTTTGATCTAAACCAGTATGCAGAACGCCATAAACTCTCCCAATCTGATGCCATCCAGATAGGTTGGCACTTTAACTCCTATAATTCCAGTTTCAGAAATCTGGATATCTGGAAGACACCAGGTTTTGGGAGGTTGAGCTGGTAAGTCCTAGAACTAATACTATAATAGATGGAAAAATATGGTTAAAAAAAACAACCCACTTTTTTGGGATATTTCATGATAGGCAAGAATCAGATATGTGAAATATACTGTTACGTGTCTCTCTGTGTCTATGGGCTGCTATAAATATTTCGCTGGCCTCCAAAACCTTAAACTGCCCAGATCCATGATATCCTAGAGAACATCCTTCTCATCCCTCCTGCTTATACAATTTTTGAATTGGAGTTCATTCTGGAAGCGCTCCTTCATTGAAATCAGAATGGCAAAGGATTTTTCTTCAATAATGGCACCTACCTTGTGCAATGTTTTTTTTTCCTTTTCTAAGTTGTAGAAGTGTAAACTCTAATACCTACCTGCCTTTTGAAATGAAGGCTAGGCTTCTCTATTTGGTCAGAGAGTTTGGGGGATTGCCTAAAATTAACATAACAATTCTCCTCGTAGACTTTATCGATATAAATTTCCCTCCTAGAGAGTTTATCCATATTCCTAACACTCCATCCTGTTCTTGAAGAACACGCCATAAGAAAAACTGCCACACAAACGTTGTCTTTAGTGGATTTAATGATGATGAGCTGAAATATGGGAGACATTTTAGAAAAGGTTAGAGAGATTTTGCTATTTAAGGCAACATCCAGTAGTTGCTGTGCTGGAAAAAAAAGCATTTAAAGTGCAAATCTGTACCAGCAGGAAGCATTATGTAGCTAATTTCTTACATCATTGTTCTTTTCATTAATTAACATTTCTCAACCGTTAGTGCTATAATTGCAGTGCCTCTGTGCCGTACGTCTCTTTCCATGATTAATAAGGAGCCATTATACTTCCCTTTCCTGAAGCAGTCAATTAACACGAAATACTTTTCATTAATTACTGAATGTTTAAAACCAGCATGCTGTACCTGGAGAGCAATCTGCTCAAGGAACCTGTGACAAAAATTGCTTTTAGAAGTTCTTTTTAAATTTTATTCCCCCCCCTCACACACACACAAAAGAGCAAACCACAGGCAATTTAGTTGGCTATATTAATTTGCTTTAGAAGCAAGGCCTGCGAAAGAGAAACATCTTTTAATCTCATGGAAGACAAGGCAGCCATCTGGCTGCTGAGGATTTCTGAGTGAGACTGCCCCTCTCTTTCTCTCTAAAATGCAGGTCATTAAAGTAATGTGTTCATCCTACATAAAACTCAAATGGAAGATAAAAGGTAATATTTATATACAAACAATTTAGTCCCACCATTTAAACAGTCATTGGTTTTATGAAACATTTACTTTAGTCTATCAGATTTGCATATTTTCATTTGGGTTTGTGTGTTTGGGGGAAAAAATGCAAGGATATATGGTCATTTCTGCAGATTATCTGTCTATTTACCAACCAACCAACTTGTTATGTTTAAAGGTTACTCTGTACTAAAACAAATCAAGAATGAAATCAAAGCAAACTGGCAAGCTTTGCAAATATTAAACAATTTTAGATTTATTTAATAACAGAACTGATTTGTCATCAGAAATTCTGTTTTGGTAGAAATACATATATGATCTCAAAATTGTTTCTGGAGCAATTTAGAACAGACTCCAAAACATCGAAGATAGAATCTTAATGTCATCAATATGTTTTTCTTATTAATAAGATGTGCCCTGTCTAATCTTATAATGACCACTGTGTGTTTATGATCCTTTCCAGTTATTATTCTACTGTATTCAGACTTATATACTTTCACTAAACATGATATAGCAGTTTAGGATCGCTGATGTGAAATAATAGGATTGGAAGGAACCTTGGAGGTCTTCTAGTCCAACCCCCCTGCTCAAGCAGGAAACTCTATACCATTTCAGACAAATGGTTGTCCAATCTCTTCTTTAAAACTTCCAGTGTTGGAGCACCCACAATTTCTAGGGGGAAGTTGTTCCACACTGATTAATTGATTAACTGATGCAGCTTGGCTGTTCAAAATTGCAGTGCATGGTATCTAACAGGTTCAAGAAGGATCAGAGTAATGGATTCTTGTCTTTGGGGATACTTCATATGCCTGGAGTCTCAGGAAAACTATCTTGAATAGCAGCTGTTAGGAAGCAATAATGAAGGAGGTTCGTTGGACTATGTTTATGAGCTTCTGGAATGCAAATGACTACATTGCAAAATATTAAATTAGATTGGCCATCGGGCTCATTCAACAGTGCTCTTTTGTGTTTTAGGAATGGCCCCAAATGTGGACTGCAATATATGCCTGAAGATCTAGTGCTAATACTGCCTGGCCAGAAAATTCCAAGGAATGTGGAGGGTGTCTTTCTGCAAAACATTTTAATTTTTTCAGAAGCAAATTTCCTTGTTACTTCATATTCATTCAACTGACATTAAATTGAATGAATTCAAATGACATTGAATGAATTAAGGATTCATTGAAGGAGATCTCTGCAATTGCAGAATGCCAGCTGAAATTGATCTGCTGAATGATTGCAAGAGAAAAGGGAACTCAAACAGTGTCCTCTTTTAGTACAATCTTTAACAAAAGACAACTAGTATATAGATTCTACAACCATACATATCCTTACTTATCCTTAGGGGGTTTTTTTTTGTCTCAGTTCATTACTTAATCAACCAATAAGAGGGATCACAACCAATGGTTTGCATTGTAAAATTTCCCACTCATACAATACTAATTTATCAGGTAGAAAGGTAAATTAGTTTTTTTTTCCATATGGAGAAGGATTTGCTCTGTCTATATCAGTCTAAAGCCCAGAAACAGTTTTATTAACATAATTAATAGTAATGATGCTTTCCAAATGTATTTGTATAGATAGAAAGTTGTAGTTACAATTCCATTGATTTTCCCATGGATAGTATTTTCAAAGTTATTTTTTTTGAAATATTAACCTGATTACAGAAAGTGGAAGCACTACTGCATTCCAGGCATTCAATACATCAGTGTAACCTGTTTTGCTAAGAAGGCATATGATGGATATATGGATATTTTCTTTTAGTTGTGTAGAACATTGAGAGTACATCTTTCAAGGACACAACCCCAGCTGAAGTAATAATAGTAATAGTAAAGTTGGAAGGGACCTTGGAGGTCATCTAGTCCAACCCCCTGCTCAGGCAGGAAACCCTACACCATTTCGGACAAATGGCCGTCCAGTCTCTTCTTAAAAACTTCCAGTGTTGGAGCATTTACTGCTTCTGGAGGCTTCCACCCGTTGCTTCTTGTCCTGCCTTCAGGTGCTTTGGAAAATAGCTTGATTCCCTCTTCTTTATGGCAGCCCCTGAGATACTGGAATACTGCTATCATGTCCCCCCTTGTCCTTCTCTTCGTTAAACTAGACATACCCAATTCTAGCACCCGTTCCTTATATGTTTTAGCCTCCAGTCCCCTAATCATCTTTGTTGCTCTTCTCTGTACTCTTTCTAGAGTCTCAACATCTTTTTTACATCGTGGTGACCAAAACTGGATGCAGGATGAGGTAACTTCATGGAGGGAAAATGGATTTGTCCACTTAAGGGGAGCAGAATCTTCAATTAGTAATTGAAAAAAAAGTATTGTTTTAAAAGACATTTCGCTTCTCATCCAAGAAAGTTCTTCACAATTGAAGAACTTCTTGCATAAGAAGCAAAAAGTCTTCAAAGAAAAACACAGAAAGTTCAGTTGCTTCTTGAAAAAGCACTTTTGGGACAACCCTGATTTGGATGACAGAGAATCTCCATAGATATTTTTTAAATTTTTTTATTTGGTTTTGGTTTCTATTGCTATTATGAGCAGTCCAGAATTGTGTCTGGATGAATAACCATGCATATCTTTTAAATAATAAATTTAAATAAAATATTTTTATTTGATCCTGATTTATCCTAAATTATTCTGAAACTAGGGAATCTGGGTGAGTTTACATCCAAGTTCCTGTGACTAAATTTTAGTGTGAACTTGGCAATCCATTCTCACAGTAATAAGAAAATACAATGAATTAAACAAACATGTTTCACTGCAGCTGTTTTTGCTTTTTGCAGCACAATAATTTCTATTAAAACATACATGGTTTTCTATTGTCAAGAACTGAAGTGCCAGATTCAAAATGGAAGGAATCCAAAGGAAGCCAACCGTTGGCTCTCTGTAAATGTATTTAAAAACAATAAGAATTGTACATAGTCAATATTCAACTCAGTGCTATGCTTGAAAAATTGAGCTTATAAATATATTGGTTGCTGAGAGTGTCGGCTTCAAGAAGCTGTAGGTGGTATTCCAGAATTAGCTTTTTTTTTTTTTTTTTTTTTTTAGTAATCTTCCCTCCCAACCTTAATATGTAATGTTCCTCAGAGTGTTCTTTCTTCCCACCATAACCTTAGGCTGGCTTTAATTCTTTATGACTGATTCTTTTCAGACTATGTTGAAGAGATTCACGTTGAAGCTTTAAATCAAAATTTTAGTAAACAAAAAAAATTCCTTATCATAATATAGTGAAAACAAAAATTAAACATAGCTTTGAGAGTAAGAACTCATCAGTGTGTTGAAAAAAAATGAGCCACAAATTGAAAATAACTAATTAACAGATAGTAGAACATGGATGAATATAAAAAATTAAACAGAGAATTGTCAATATTCCAATTTTAAATTTTTATCTTCCTGTTCAGTATAATATTACTGATATTAATCTGTGTGGTTTGCTTGTTTTCTACACCTGACAT